CTGGGCCCTGCTGCTGCCAGGCCTTGGCTGGGGTCGAGGGGGGCCGTGGGGGCCATGCGGGGTGCTGAGGCCATGCAAAGGCCAGGGCAGTCTGTCTGCTCAGTAATTGTTTTTTCTTCTCTCTGTTTTAGCTCTATGAGATATTCAGCTGCCTGGCAGAGCTGGGTGCCATAGCTCAAGTTCATGCTGAAAATGGAGATATAATTGCACAGGTAACTAACTACTCTTCTGGTATGCGGGGACTGAAAGTCTGTCCCAGGCAGATTTGTGTGGGGCATTAACAAAATGACTCTAAAGCTGCATGGACATCTTTTTGCTGTACAGCAGCAGTATAAAATTAACCAAGATTTTCTGCTGTGACTATGTGGCGGCAGTCCCAAGGGAAGGGCTCGACACAGGAGGGTTCTGCTTTTCTGTGTGGTTGATAGTTTCACAGTCTAGTAACATCCCTCTGTCCTTTCGACATCCTAGGAAGAAGCCAGGATGTTGGAGATGGGAATTACTGGCCCTGAGGGCCACGTGCTGAGCAGACCTGAGGAGGTAAGATGCAAAGGACAGTACCAGCCTTGCTGCACTGAAGAGCTTTCATAGTAGGGCTTAGTATATGTAGTGGGGCCAGGTAAGCATCAGGGAGGAGTGGGGATGTATGCATCTATGGGTATCCGTTTGTACAGGCAACACTGTTTTGTTCGTCATCAGCTCAGGAAAGAGCGAGGTATGCATTTGCAACAAACATGTTTCAGTCTTGCTCTGGTCTCCTGGCAGAGACAAGAGCTTATGAGTCTCCCAGAGATTAATCCATCAAGAAAAAGGTCTGTATGGCTGTATCAGCATTTGGGGCTGGTTTGGGGGCATTTGTCTTGTATAGTGACTGCACGGTATTAGAGGCCTGAGAAGAATCAAATGGTGAGTTTTAGTTCCTCTGAAAATGGACTGTTCGTGTTTGTCAGACTGCAGACAGATTCCAGCCTTTTCCTACTTAATCTCTGCTTAGGGTCTAAAGTGTGTTTCAAAATCAGATGGACAAAGCCATTGGTGGAAGGAGAGGGGGAATTTCCTGGCTACACATCATTGTCAAGACACCAATTAGATTACTTCTAATTTTAGCTCACAGGGTATTTCTCTGTTTGGTCCCTTAATCTGAGTTGAGTCTAATTTTAGATAGGTTTTCTTGAGATAGCTCCCTGCTGAGAGGTGCTTTTAACTTTCTACAGCATGTGAAAGAAGAAAACAATAGGAATTTGGTACAATCACACAGCTGAGCAGGGGAGCATGAGGACAGATTTGTACTTCAGGGCCTGCTTGAAATAAAATCAGTTAGCTTAAATTAAAAGTGTAAGAAGTTGACTGTATTATGACTTGTAACATAATATATAGCCTAGTGTAACCCAGTGCTCGTTCTCTTTGAAGGATGAGACTGTAAAGCATTTTTCTGTACAGGGAAGAGACTCAGTGTCAAGTACAGTAGATCAGAGTCCCTCTGTGTGTGAACTGCCATTTATTTTTTATGGCTCTAGACCCGTTGCCTCTAGTTGGCAAACTAAGCGGCCATTATGGGATGCTGTGGTTGTGCCAGGATTTCAGAACTGTCATATTATCATAAGACAGCACTGCAGTTCTTTTCATCCAAAGCTGGTAAAACATTGTTGAGTGTTTGATCTTGAAATGCCATTAAAGCATAAGGTAACTGAGAACAGTGCAAGAAAGCTCTAGATACCATCTGTTCAGCCAAATCCAGATCTCATTACCTTTGAAAATAAAGTGTACCCCTTCCAGAACGTCCTCTACCTGGCAAAATGTTAAGTAGACCGCAAATGACACTGCTGCCCCCCACAAAGCCTGCAGGTTGATGGCAAAGGATTGGGAGAGTGGTCCATATCTCTTCGGGTCTGCTCCATCCCAGAGGGACCTCAGTGGGGGTTAGAGACATGCTCTTCTGTCAGGTGATGGTGGTGACTTGGTAGTGCAGGATAGTGCTGCTCTGTATTGTAACCTGCTGTGAAGGATATTCAGTGATGCCTCTGCTCCTGACCGCATGTTAAAACCCTGTCAACTACTCAAAGCCCTGAGTGTCCCAATAAAAATGTTTGTTTGTTTAGATTTAATTTTTAAAGAGTCTTCAGGCAGAAGAGAAAAACCTCTTTTCACTGTGCAGCAAATAGGCCTGCAGAACTACAAGAGGGGTGCGGGTGCATGTGTGTTTGGGTGCGGTGCTCTGTTCCTCCTGCTGCTGGGAGAGCTCAGCCTGCGGGGCCAGCCGCGGCAGTCGCTCCCTGCAGCCGCAGTCCCAGCCTCCCCTGGGAGCTAGCTGGTTGGTACATTGTCTTTTTAAGGCTTCTGTTTTGAACTTTCTCATGCTGAAGCTTGAAGCCAAACTGTAGAGCAAACACTTGGAGAACCTCTAGGGTTGAGCTCAGGCTGAGCACAGGCTGATGTAATAGTCCAAAGATATCCCTCGTGATGGAAATCCACCCTCCGCTAGCAGCCAGACAGTGAACCACGGGGTGGGTGTCAGCAGGCTGGGACGAGCGGCAGCGGCGTTGCAGGATGGCCAGACCCTGGTGGGAACAGCCTGCCAGCATGTAGTTTGCTGCACCCCAGCCACAGGCAGGGTGACGTTTGGTTAAACCAAATGTGGCCTCAGGAGAGCCTGGAGCATTGAGTGGACTGAAGGGACCTGTCTGCTGTCTGGCGTCAGCCTGTGAGCCATGCTGTCAGGCCTGGGCAGCGGTCCCTGGGCTTCTCTGCCTGTCAGGAGATCTGGAACCAGGCAGTGGAAAAAACAGCAGATGCAGCTCTGCACTGGCCCCAAGCACGGTCCAGGCAGCGCTCCCCTGCCGAGCGCCCTGGGGCTGTACCCTGCTGGTTGGGCTGGGCCCTAGGGAGACTGAAGCTTCCCCCCTCAGGTCTCCCTGGTTAACCTGCCCTTGGGGAGTCAAGGGTAAGAGCGAGGGCACAGGGCATCAGCAGTGATCTGTGGTGTGCTGAGAGGAGCTGGGGCTCTTCCCTGCCTGTCCAGTGCTCCTCTGCAGCCATGCACTGTACTCTCTTCCAGCTGGAAGCAGAAGCTGTCTTCCGGGCCATCACTATCGCCAGCCAGACCAACTGTCCTCTCTATGTGACTAAAGTGATGAGCAAAAGCGCTGCTGACCTCATCTCACAAGCCAGAAAAAAAGGTGAGTGTCAGCTGCTGCTGCACACAGCCTTGCTGTTGCCGCTGGGATCCTGGACAGCAGGACTAAGTGATCCCCATATCCTTATGGTTGTTTTTCCAAGACCACCCCTATGCCTCAAGTGCAGTCCGGTGCTTCCCCTTCTGCTGGGGAGCAGTTAGTTCAGGGATTTACCCAACTTGTGAAGGGCGCGGGGACACTGCACCAGGCCACGTGGAGCCACCTCCTCTTGTCACATCAGGTCATATCAACATGTGGGTCACAGGTAGGAGCAGTGCTTTAAACACCAAAGTTTGTCTGTGAAGGGCTTTCTGTGAGGAGACTCTTTGGACCCATGTGCAAGTGATTTGAGCTACTCATATAGCTCTGGTCTCCCTTTGAAGTGCTGGCCCCTCAGGGGTACCTGGGTGCCTTTTCAGGTGGCCAGGGGCTCCGTTTGTCACTGGTGGTGGAGTGCAGGGATTCCCCACATGCATGTGTGCACTTCCACAGCTGTGTTCAGTGAGCCTCTGTAAAAAGGGCTGGGGGAAAATGTAGAAAATGCATTTATAGGGAGGGTCTTGGTGGAGTTGGTAATGGTGTCTCCCAGAAGCACTCGCCCAGGCTGTAGCGTGTGTTTGCATAGAAAAGCACCATTTCTCAGTCCCCATCCTGGTTTATCAGCATGACAAGCCCTGCTCTGCAAAAAACCCTTGGCCACCAGCTGCTGCCCTCTCCCCTGGCCTGTCCCTGGAGTCAGGCACCAGAAGGCAAGTGAGGAACAGGAGTGGGAGATGGGCCTGCCAGCTCTTTGGTGGCACATGGTAAATATTTACGAAGGATAAAGGAGGAAGAATGCACAGGAGATGACGATAAAGGGCGTTGAGAAAGGCTTGTTAGTCTGCCCGGCGTGGGTTCAGTGCCAGGCTGCATTGTGGTCTGCCTGTCCTGCTGCGGGCTGTCATTTCTTGTCAAATTGCCTGACCCCTGCCAGGTGTGCCTGCGCTGCCGATCGGCTCTGAGATGTGGCTGTTGTTCTTGGGCTGAAGGTCAGCAGGATGAAACGCCTCCTGCCACCGAGTGGGGGCACCAATGCTTGCAGGAAGGGCCGGAGGGACCGAGGGTCTTGCTTCCTAGGAGCATGGCCAGGGCAGGGCAGGTTGTGAAGCAGCCATCTGCCAGGGAAGGAGGTCAGGTTGCCAGTGTCATTCGTCTCTCTGTGTCCTTGAGCAGGAGGGCCTTATGGTGATGGTGAGAAGAGTTCGCCCCTGACACCAGTGTGGGCCTTGCTGTCCCTCCTGCCTGCCCCAGTGCCTGAAGTCCAAGCAGGCAGCGTGGGCCAGCCCAGCGTGGGTCTGGGTGTCCTCTGGGCACAGCAGGCTGTCGATAGTGCTGTGGAACAGAGAATGCCTCCAGGCCCCACCAAAGCAACATCCTTTCTATCCCCCTTTCCAGGCAACGTGGTGTTTGGTGAGCCGATCACGGCCAGTCTCGGGACTGATGGGACGCACTACTGGAGCAAGAACTGGGCTAAGGCTGCAGCGTTTGTGGTCTCTCCACCTCTGAGCCCAGATCCAACAACTCCTGACTACATCAACTCCCTCCTGGCCAGGTAAGTGACAGTGCTGCTGGGTGATGCTGCTAGTGGAAGAAGTAGACTCTGGCCTTGGAGATAGGGTAGGAAGAAGTTTGGGAGGATCTGGGCAGTGTAGATGTTAGTCCAACCTGAACCACTGTAGGTATTTAATGAGCTGGCAGATGAAATGGCTCTGACCCAGAGCCATGCTGGCTTGTCCCTGAGAGTGGAGGGAGGACAGGGGAGGCACCATAGGCTTAACATCAGTAACAAGGAAAATACCAGGGCAAGTAGTCATGAACCATTTAAAATGCCCTGAAGAAGGCAAAGAAGTGAGGACCAGCTAACTCAGACTTGTGAACAAAAGCGTTCACCAAGCCAGAGAACCCCTTCTGCTGTGCGGGGTGGTGAATGGCTGCCTGGGTTGTGATAGCTGCAGGAGCAGGGGGGAGAGTTACAGGTGTGACAAGCCAGCAGGGGCCCCCTGGTTCAGTACAAAATAGAAGTTCTCTCACGCTCATATAGGTGAGCAGCTGTACAGCCTGCAGCGTACACGAGGCCTTTAAGGGCAGCTTGTGCACATCTGACAAGGATGGTAGGTCATTTTTTCACCCTGAAGGCAGGGGAGTGGGGAAGGGATTTGTTGAAAATAGAGAGCAAACAATGAAAGCACTTCAGCAATTTGCTCTGACCTTTCACAGTTACACTCCATCCTTTCACTGGCAAGGCACGCGCAGCAGCTAAGGCCACGGAGCTCATTGCTGGCCCTGTCCCCGTGCCTCGTGTGAATCGCAGGCCCCTCTCGCCCTGCGTTTGCACGCTGAACTGTGTGCGTGGCGGCTGGTCTGTGTTAGCCAGGCAACAACTGACACCGAGGGAGTTGTAAATGGAGATGACCTTTGAGGTAATGCTGGAAACATCTCTGACTAGATGAGCAAGGGATGACTGGTCAGTAGGAGGTCTCAGCTGAGGGGCACATTAGGATAAACCTGGGATGTGCCAGGGTGGAGGTGCCATAGCTGGCATAAGAGAGATGCCAGTGCATCTGGGGTCTGAACATGCAGCTCAGCCTGGATTTTGCTGTGGTCAAGGAGCAGGAGATGCCTCTGCTCAGCGTGGATGTATGAAATGGGTGCAGGTCTTAGGGACTGTCAGGGAAAAGTGAACCCAGCTCCTGAACTGGATTTTGAATCCTTCCCTTCCACTTCAAATTTACCCCAGACCTGAGAGGAGAGGCAAGAGCACTTCTTGGTCCCTGGAGCCCACAGGTGTCTGTCCTGACACCTTTCACACACCGT